CAGGAGAGACATCATTTCCTCATATTCTGTGGTCACAGACCAGTGACTTGCCCCCACACAGATACTATGGGGCTGTGGCCACTCCTGGCAGCCTCCTAGCCTCTGGGTTGAACCACTTGGTATCTTTACTCTAAGTTCTCCTGCTTCTTAGTTTTGAAAATAGATCAAAAGGATATTCAACCCTGTCCTAGTTTAGAAATTAGCATATTTCAGTAGATGGTATTAATACTTTTAGAGCAACGGTAAGTGGCCAGTCTAGCTGGTTATTCTGTGAGCAGTGTTGAATAACTCTCCCAGAAGAATAGCCTTGCTACCAGTCAATGTGTATTTATCATGTACCGACTAATATTAGATAGGATTTTCCAAATATGATATTATTGTTAGACTCTATGAGAACCTGTCTAATCTCACAGGAGTTTCTAGACAGTGACCCTATTTGGAAAGACTAAACTTCTCATACCAACCCCTGCTTGTGTGACACCCAAAAGAGACAGCCCAGGTCATTCACCATTTACCATCATGAGGTAGGTAACAAAGAGGGACTTCTAAGAGAACAGTTGAAGCCCTGAAAAATTGATCCACATCTCACAGTGATAGACCATCCTCTGACCTTACATGGAAGAGTGACTGCATGTGTGTCTCCAAGCCATGGAAGTGCTACCCCACAAGTAGCCTTATTATTTCTTTTATTTTACACTGGGCTGTGGCACTGGACTGAAGGATTCATTCTTTTGTTTGGTGAGTTGTGAGAAGTTAAAAAATGAAATTAGGGAATGAATACCCCTGACAGCTTTGAGTTCTTTCAATTATTAGCTGTGTGGCCTTGGCCTTCGCCGAGCCTCAGGCTATCATCAGCAAACTGTGGTTCTCATGGCACCTCTTTCTTATGGTCTTGAGGATTAAATGACAGTACCCATAAAGTAGCACAAAACAGTGCTTCAGAAATACTAGTTGTCTCATGGTAGTTTTGATTTGCATTTCCCTGATTACAAGTGATGGTGAACATTTTTTCATATGCCTGTTGGCCATTTGCATTTCCTCTTCAGAGAAGTTTCTTTTTAGCTCTTCTGCCCATTTTTGGACTGGATTATTTTCTTTGTTGTTGTTGAGTCTCGTCAGCTCTTTGCAGATTTTTGTGATCAGTCCTTTATCATTAGTGTTGTGTGCAAAAATGTTCTCCCAGTCGGTGGGGTTTCTCTTTGTTTTTGTTATTGTCTCTTTTGCTGTGCAGAAGCTCTTTAATTTGATGTAGTCCCAGCTGTTTATCTTTGCCTTCACTATCACTACTTTGGGTGATGTGTCTGTAAAGATGTCTTTGAGGTGCATGTCATGTAGTGTTTTGCTATATTTCCTTCTATTTATTTTATGGTTTCAGGTCTTATGCCTAGTTCTTTAATCCATTTTGAGTTGGTTTTTGTGCATGGTGTGAGGTAGTAGTCAAGCTTCATTCTTTTGCATGTAGCACCCCAGTTTCCCCAGCACCATTTATTGAACAAACTTTCTTTGCTCCAATGCATAGTCTTTGCTCCTTTGTCAAAGATTAGTTGACAATAAATCTGGGGGTTTATTTCTGGATTTTCTATTCTATTCCATTGGTCTGTATGTCTGTTCTTGTTCCAATACCGTGCAGTTTTGATGATTATGCCTTTGTAGTATAGTTTGAAGTCTGGGAGTGTGATGCCTCCATTCCCTTCTTTTTTTTTTCAGGAGAGCTTTGGCTATTCGGGGGTTTTGGTGATTCCATATGAATTTTATCAATAGTTGTTCTATTTCTTTGAAGAATGACATTGACATTTTTATTGGAATAGCATTAAATCATGCTCCGGGAAATAAGCCAGAAAGAAAAAGAAAAATGCTGGATGGTCTCACTCATAGCAGGAATCTAGAAAACTTAAATAAGGGACCAGGAAAATGAATAACTATAAGAAAGTGAAAATCAAAATCAACAAAAAACTATGAACCAGAGACACTCTATGGAGGGTGGGGGGTGGGGAGCGGAGGAATTGGGGTCAAAATAAGGGTGTTGCAATTGTATGGGGAATATAAAAATAAAATTTATTTTAAAAAAATAAAAAGAAATAAATAAAATAAAATAAAAAGAAATACTAGTTGTCATTAATGACAATAGCAATGACAATAGCATCTTACTTGGACTGTGAAGGCAGTGAAAGAAGATAGATATCTCTTTTCATGCCCAATGTTGTAAAAATGCTACATTTTTATAAGTCTTAGGGGATGTCATAAATTATCTTATGATGTAACTGTGATGCTTGAAATTTTTTCTTAGGCTGTACAACTATTTAATGATGATTTTGTGGGTGCCCACGGTGTGTAAACATGTTGCCAGGCACAGTGGTATTACGAAGAAGAGATAGCCTTGACCCCAAGCAGTTCATGTCATAAGCTTTAGTAATGGTTATATTATTAATGGGTTAACTACAGCCCAAGTTGTTGGTATCATTGGTGTTTTAAGGCAACTGTACATACATCCCATTGTAGATAAAAATAAGTGTGATTATATTTTTTAACAAGCCAAATATACTTAAGAACTTTTAATTTCCTACCTCTCAGACCTCATTGTCAACTTAATCTCCTCCTACTCCTACCACCAGTTGTCAATTCACTTCTCTCCACCCCTCACTCATGTAGCTCGGTCATGGCCCTGTTATAAATCAGTTATCTGTTGTGTGACAGATAATCTGTTCAGTTTTTCAAGATAACTATTTTAAAATAGCTTTTTTAATATGAAATAGCCTAATGCTATAATTTATAGTTTATTTTGGTTAGAAAGTCTAGTATAAGGACTTTGAACTTAGATTTTTATGGGAAAAATTATTTTTGATTTCTTAATTTTTTTAAGCTATCAAGTCTTAATTTTTTTAAGCTATCAAGTACTCTTCAGTTTGTTGGAAACAAGTCTCATATAAACCCAGTATCCCTTATTCTCCTTGTGCATATGTGAAAAGTCAAGTTTATCATCTCCTTCCACCTTCTCCTTTTTCCAGTTTCCCAGTTTCACTTGAATATTAGAGCTGGAAAGACCTTACCTTCTAACCCTCTGTGCCTTTAGCAGAGAAGAAAACTGAGGCCCAGAGAGGTTAAAGGACTTTCTTGAGATTACTCAGTGAGCTCCCCTCACACTCTGCCCATCCTCACACAGGGACCCTCTGGGAGTATTTCTCTTTCCTTCAACCCTCTTTTCTGAGATACCACCAAGTCCTGTTACTGTCTTGAATTATCTCCTAGGTGTCTCCCTTCCCATTTCTTCCTATCTAATCTAGTCCCTCAGTTCTTCACAACAGGAAAGACCCAACAGAGCTCTTTGACTCTGAGCTGCCATCATGCAAGATTAATTTTCTCTAATTGCCACTGTCAGCATGTCACTCCTCTGCTGCGAAGCTGCCAGAAGCTCTCTGCTTCCTGTGACAGCACAGAGCACCCCACCACCTCCTGTGCTCTGTCCCCCAGAGCCTGACCTGCCTTTATGTCCTCAGCTTTATTTCCTTTCTCCTCAAGAACTCCAAAGGTCTGAAGTCTTCTCTGGGTTATCTCCATAAGTCAGCCATGTTTCCTTTATGCCTTTCATCTATCCTACTCCCCTTGCCTTTCCAAACTCTCAACTTTTCTAGGCTAAATCCAGGCCTGCCCCCTATTCAGTGTTCTCCCTATTACTACAGTAATAATCCGGTGACATTCCCTTCCCCAAACCTTTTCCTCTTACGCACTTCCATGTGTGCCGGACTTCACAGTCTCTCTTATATGGTCCCCTGGTTTTTCCTTGGAATTGCTTTGCCTTTTCAAGTGCAGTTAATGTTCTTGGAAGGCAGGGCTGTGTTTTTATTTTTCTCATATATTCCTTGTATCACAATGACTAATAAGTGATCAGTAAACACTCTTTGCTTATTAGGGGCTCTGAGCTTTTAAAAGAAGTTGTCCCAGAGCTGTAAACACATGAGATGTTTAAGTTGGATCAGGGTCAGCTTCTAATAATGCAGAACAGTGTGTTACTGTCTGCTAAATGATGATAGGATCAGACAGTGTTGTGTTAATGATCTTCTGAGGGAACTGGCTATACAGATATGGCCTACATTAATAGTTTATGATTTCTTTGTGGATCTCTGGCAGGACTGTGCCCTCCAGCCCTCCACTGACCTTCGTGCCTGCCCCTTGGATCTAACAATAATAGCTCCTGTAGAATGGATAGTGTTAGCCTCATAACTCGGGCCAGCTCTCGGCACACCAGTGTGAAATATGAACTGGCCTGGCTCCCCTCCCACTCTGTGTCCTTGAGTTAGTAATGACCTTGGTGCTCTCTTTTCTACAATCCTAGTAAAATGTCCTAATATTTGATCTGATTTTTCTCTAAAGTATTTTTTCAGAATCAGTAAATAGTGTATCTTCCCCCAAAAGTGGGCAAGTTGTAATAAGTTGTAATAAATTGTAATAAGTTGGTATTTGAAAACAGAATATGTATTATTCAAGGACTCCCTGTTTTCTGAAGTTTTGATCCCCTTTTGCAGGCCTTCCTACCTCTTCTGCTAGTTGTTTCTGGACTTGAGCAACTGTACATTTTGCACTACCTTGGAATCTGCTCTCCCCAAGGTATAGCCTCTGCAAGAATCTCTTCTAATAAGGGTTCATAAACTTGGAATCACTATTTCTGTAATGTCAGCAGAACTAATTTCACCCAATACAAAATGGTTTGGCCTTTTTCCTCTTTGGCATTAGAGAGAATTGGCAGTGACTCCAGCAAAGGTGAAGCTGACAAGCTCTGGCTTGGTGACCAGCTCAGTGCCTCTGGGCTGTGATTCTCCCTGTTCATCTCCTGTTCTGATTCTTTGTTCCACACAGAAAGTCCTCCTTTCGGCTCTGTCACACCTCAGGTGTTTCATATCCAACTCCCTTGTTAACAGTTTCAAACACCATGAAATGCTCAGTCTCTTCATTGATAGAAAATTACCCAAGAGGAGTCACTTGAAGATTTTTTTTTATCCCTCTAGGTGGATGGAAGTTTGCTTAGTGGAAGAATTGCCACCAACTACTGAATTGGAAGAAGGGCTTCGGAATGGAGTTTACCTGGCCAAGTTGGCCAAGTTCTTTGCCCCGAAAATGGTATCAGAGAAAAAGATCTACGATGTGGAACAAACACGTTATAAGGTAACTAAGATCTGATTGGTTTTAGCTCTAGCTACGAGTGAAAGTTCAATGTTCTGTTTCCTTTTCCTTCTTTTATTCTTCATGCTTCTGCCAGGACTTTATGGGAAAGGGGGTGTCCTTGGTGTTTGAAGCCTGTTAATAAACATTCCTGAGGCAACTGCAGTTTTAAAAGCAAAGAGTTTCTATTTCTGGACCGAGGCTGAAAGACCTCCAATTGGTGGGACTTCACAACCCCCCATCATTCCTTCATGGAGGTCATTTTTATTAGTGCCAGTCAATGTGAAAGTGGGAGCACTCTTCTCCCTTTTGCACCATGGACACAATTTATGAGTCTCCTCGTTTCCTCAAGGATAAAGTTACCCAGCTGGGACTTGAACTTGTGGCCCTAAAAAGTTAGGAACAATTTGATAAAAAGAGTAGTAACGGTGAATAGCAAGGTAGGCGTTCTTTTCCACTAGGTGTTAAGACTAACCTTTTTGTATACAACTAGTTTCAAGAATTATTTCATGGGCCTCCCCGGTGGCGCAGTGGTTGAGCGCTGGGTTGTGAGGCTGCCCGCAGCCTCTGCAGCGCAGGTTCGATCCCCGGCTGCTCCCCGGCCACTGGGTGAGGGTCCCACATGGTGCGCAGACCTCTCCTGCCGCCCGCTGCTCCCCTCAGCAGTGTGCTTCGCTCCTTCTGCCTGCTCTGCTCCCCGCTCTGGCTCTGGTGAATTCTCTCACCCTTCTGTGCTTCTGACTGTACCCAGCACTTGTATAAATAAATAAATAAATCTTTAAAAAAAAAAAAAAAAAAGAATTATTTCATGGCTAATTTGAAATGGTGTATAGGGGAGAAAATAACATGAAAATAAATACCAATCTTATATTAATGTTAAAAATTTTGATACCAATCTTGTACTCATTTTAAAATGTTTACATTTTTAGAGATACATGTCTATGTATGTATAGGTAAGGTGGAAGATCTAGGATTTCCTTCAAAGTCATTGGGACCGGGTTGGTAGAAAGATGATTAAAGACTGACCATGAATTCAAAATTACTGAAGCTGAATGATGGGTATGAGGAGCTCATTGTATTATCCTGGCTACTATTTTATGTTTGAAATTTTCTATTGAAAAATGGAGGGATAGGGCCTGGTGGCTCAGCGGTTGAGCGCTGGGCTGCGAAGCTGCCCGCAGCCTCTGCAGTGCCGGTTCAATCCCCGGCCACGTGCGAGAGTCCCACATGGCTCTCCTGGCGCCCACTGCTCCCCTCAGCTATGTATTTCGTCAGTCTGCCTGTTCTATTCCCTGCTCTGTCTCTGGTGAATTTTCTCACCCTTCTGCACTTCTGACTGTACCCAGTGCTTGTATAAATAAATAAATAAATAAATAAATAAATAAATAAATAAATAAATCTTTAAAAAAAAATTAGGTTAAAAAAAAATGGAGGGATAAGTAAACACCAACTTAAAGGACCCTGTCATTAGATATATCTTTAAAGGTGAATTTTAATATGTGTGGTGGTCTCTCCTGGAATATGTGCTCTCTATTCTACCTTGAGCCAGGCTTCCTAAAGCTTCCTTGAAATTTGATGCCATATTTTCTTAATATATTGTGTTTGGTTCTGTATGTAAGTATTTTTTATCTACAGCTTTTCAAGTGTCCTTAAAAGTTACTTTTAAAATTACAGGGACAACATAGTTGAAAAGGGAATTATTTCTCACTTACTGAATGATTATAAATGCCTCTCAGTTGTTATTAAGACAGTTTCTTTTTAAAATACGTAATTTGAATTCAGAGCAAATGTTTGAGTAATATTCAAGTTAAGTGACAGCATGAATTGACAAATCTCTTCTGAGTCTGTTTTCATGATATTGTCTAGAAGGTTACTAAGCAAAGTTTCTTCCTTGAATAATGTTGTGAGTGAATCATTAGCATTCGCTAATGCTAATGAGTTTATTAAATCAGGTGTTTCACCCCAAAATTTCAGCTTATTATATAGCCTTTTATAAGACTTGTTTAAACAATCACTTCCGTGCCACAATTCATTCTTCTTAATATTGAAGAATGTTTTTTAAACTTAAGGGGGAAAAAATCACTGATATTTCCATGTCACAAAATAAGTTAACATTTGTGCACAGGTTAGAGCATGATTTTTTTTTCATTGCATCTCTGTAGTGGTTATTGCCAAGATACATGCATATTGGTGCTACCAGCTGTGTGGATTTACAAGAGTAAAGCATACTTGAGTTGGGTTCTCCCCACTCTGAAAGGGGTTATGGGTATTTTATCTTGATGTTGAGGATGGTGAGAATCAGTCCAAAAAAAAGACTTTCAGTGTAGGTGGGCTTCTGAGCAGAGGGTGGACTGACACTTTTCTCCTCCTGGCATGTCATACATGTATAGGAAAGGTATCTCTTTCCTGTAATCCACTAGGACCGTAAGAGCTGTGGACCACCTCATGGCAACTCAAACAGGTACTCTTACCTTCTGGCATCAGAGATCCTACTATTTGAATAAATAGTAACCTCTCTTTGGAATGAGGACAGGGAAACTATTTCCAATCTCTTGTCACAAAATAAAATACATATGGAGCTAGGCAGGTGATGACATCCCTGAGCCAAGCATGGCAAGAGAGGGAAGTGTTGTTTTCTTGCAGTAACACTTGCAGTAACACTTGCAGTAACACTTGCAGTAACATTCCCCATCCCATCCTGCCCCTGAAAAACTGGGATGCACAGAAGGGGTGCCGAGAGGGGTGGAAAGAAGGGGAGTAGCAGAAGGAGGGTGGTTGATGCCAGCTGTAATGTGGGAGAAGGCATGAAACAGATGGAAACTGCCCCTTTGTTCACTAGAGAGAAGGGGCCTGTCTTTTCTTCTCCTTTGATTAAATCCCTGAAAGTGCTTAATGTCCTCAGGTAGGAATTTTTAATGATTTGCCACAGAATCACAAAATTTTACTTTGAGGTCATTTCATTTCTTTTACAAAAATGAAAGGAAACAAATAGCAGTGGACAGGAGAGTTCATTTCCTGTTCTTGTGCTCTTCAGAACTTAGTGGTCCTGTCCAAGAAGCACTAAATCATGGAACTGCATGGAGAATGTTGGGACACAAGGAGCTGTTTGCTGACTGGGGCCAGCCCCTTGGTGTGCCATCTGGAAGCCATGAGTCCAGTTAGCATGGGCCCTTCTTCACAGGGGCTACTAAATCGCAACTGTAAAATATGGCAACCCCCTGCCCCCCATTTGACCTTGTGTGCCCAGGGACATAGCTCTGTCCTCAAGATCTAAAGGCCTTGGTGTTGACTGGTGGAATGGGTAATGGGCAACATTGGTGACCAGGAGGGAAGCAGAGGCAGAGACACAACCACACGTGGAGTGTCTGTGATTTCATCCTCAGGCCAGGGGAATCATTGAAATATTAGCTGCAGGCATCTTGGTGTGGCTTGTGCTTTGGAAAGATCAGTTCTCTGCTATGTGAATAATCAGTTGGAGGGAGGTTGAAGGTGGAGGCAGAGTCCAGCAAGGACATTGTTCAGTCGAGGTGACAGGTGACATAGATAAGAAGTGAATGGATTCAAGAGGGAAAACAAAGTGAATCTGGCAAAGGAATTAGAAATGAGTGGAGAGTGGTGAAGAGAAGATGAGTGGATGGGCAGTGGGACACAACCAAGGAGAGAGGGTCTTTTCTAGAAAAAGTGGTGAAGAAACCAGGAAGGTTTCCACTGTGGAGGTTTGAATGATGAGAGTTGACTAGGAGGAGTGGGGGAGAGGAGACAGAAAGGGAAGGAAGGACATTATTTGGAGAGGACTCAGCTTCAGAACTCAAAGACAAAAGAAGTGTATCATTCCTGACAGTGCACTGATAATTGTTGGCTTACAATAAATGCTGTTGAATATTTAGGTGAGCATTAGATAGGGAAAGCAGGTATATAGTGGTGCATAGTGTGAGGTGGAGAGTCAAAATACTTAGGCATCTGGCTTCACCACTAACTTTGCCTCTGTGAGTCTGTTTCCTTACCTGTGGAGTTGGAGTAATAACTACAGCCATCTTTGTTGAGAAACTGTAAGAAACAAATGTGTGTGTATATGTATGTATATGTATATACGTATATATAACATGATTTATTGCACTCTTAAGTGTGTAATAATACAATAGCTTATATGTAGTGCACTCTTAAGTGCATCCATGCGAGGCACCTGGCACAGTGCCTGCTAGAGGTGAGTGTCTGAGGTGCTGCTTGTTCTGAGGCTTCATGAGCAGTAATTGGACAGAATATTCGATCTTGGACTCAGGGGTCTTGCAAACCACTCTTGACCCTAAGCATAGGGTCAGCCTTGTTTGCTGATGCTGTAATTGCTCAGCAGTGGAAAATCAACATATAATTTCTGGTCCGCTACCTGAAAGAAACATAACTATTTACAACCCACCTAATTTAGTGTTAAATGTAGGACTGGTTAAAAAAAAAGGACTAGCTAAAAATGTTTATAATGGACTAAGACTGTTTTTAGAAGACCATTTTGTTCTCATTAAAGAAAATCTAGTAGATTGGAAGTGTTACTGCAACTAAAGCTTCTTCTGTGAAGACATGGTTCTGAAGTTAGTATTCCTCATGTGTTGAAAGTGAATAAAAGACAGGAAAGCTGTCATTTCATTTATTATAGAAATATGATCAAGATAACCACATTCGCCCTCCATTCCTCTTGCATAAAACTCTAACCTTTTTCTGAACTTAAAGACGAATAAAAATTTTAAGCCCAGTCTTACAGCATAATAATATAATAGCTAGTATTTATTGCACTCTTAAGTGCACTTTGTGATAAAGTGCTTTATGTATATTCTCATTTAATCTCTGAAACTCTGAGAAGCAACCTGTTTCCATTTGATGGCATAGGAAGAAAGGTTCAAAGAGGTTACCCATTTACTAAGACCACTAAACAGATAGGGTGTCTTTGTTAACATGATTTGGGATTGTTGAAGCCCAGTAGCCAAAGGCCCCCAGAAACCCACCTGGGGAAGTACAGTTTGGTTTATTTAACAACTCATAGCAAGAAAAAAATGCATACCCATGGAGCCATAGGAGGAGAAAATAGGGACTTAGGTTAGGGTTAGATTTGGACTTGTGCCATTGTTTTATGTGAGTATCCTTAATCCTGTTCCAGGGGAATGGCAATTAAAAGGCATCCTGCTAATGGAAAATGTTATCACAAATAATTCGCCTTTTGTGTGATCCCTTCTTTCTTTTTCTACCCCATACTCACATTAGAAGTCCGGCCTGCATTTCCGGCACACGGATAATACAGTCCAGTGGCTACGAGCCATGGAGTCCATTGGTCTACCCAAGGTAAGCCTTGAAATTCTGGAACCTGAACTAGGTAGCCACGGGTAGTGTGTGCAAGCACCTCAATATAAAAAATGATTTGGCAGACTGGAATGTGTTAATGCAGCAGATTGCTTATTGCCTCAGAAGTGAGAGATGTGAGAACTGCTAAGCAGAGATATGGAAAGTCCTATCGGAAGTAATATACGGCAGGAACTCACATTTAAGTATGTGTACAGATGGAGAGTAGTCAGGCAAAAATGTTTATAAATTAAACAAGGTCAGAACAAACTTTAACTGGTGGATAGCTGATTTCAAGTAGCCACCTCCTTTTGTTATGTTGCTATTAACACTTAAGATTCTGGGTCTGAGAGAGCCTAAATAAGGGACCAGGAAAAAAGACTAATTAATACAATATGAAAATCAAAATCAACAAGCAACTGTGGACCAGAGACACAGTTGGGGGGAGGGGCAGGGAGAGGCAGGACTAGGGTCAAAATAAGTGGGGTGCAATTGTAACCAAAATGAAAATGCATACATTGTGCGAAAATGAAAAATGATTTAAGAATTACATAAAATAAAATATTAAAAATAAAATAAAATAAAGATTCTGGGTCTCAGTTGTGTCACTGTGACTTACATATAAATTTATTTGTAAAGTATCATTATAAATAATGGCATCACTTTCTATTTAAAGACTAAAACATTATATCTCTTTTTCTCTTGAAATAGATATTGAAAATAAAATACATTCAGCAAATATTCAGAGCTTGTCGAATTCAAAGAGCAGGCACATTTAAGCCCGAGAGACAAATAGACAAGTGGAGGAAATGAGGCAATGATTACATTTGGTAGAAATTTTAGAGCTATTTCTTAAACTTATTTTGAAATAATTATAGGATCCCAGGAAGTTGCAAAAATAGTACATCTTTGTGTAACCATCATTCAGCTTCCCCACTGGTGACATCTCATCACTGTACTGCAGTCCTAAATGACACTGGTGTATTCATGTGACTGGACTGCTGACTTTATTCGGCTCTCGCTGTTCTTACCTGCATTTAGAGTGTGTGTGTTTCTCTGCAGCCTCACTCACGAGTAGATCTGTGTCACCTCTCCACAATGAAGATAGAGGTACCTCGGAGGAGTGGGCCCTCTGATCCTCCCTTCCCCAGCCCTGTCCCCTGTGACCATCTCAGTTTTGTCATTTTGAAAATGTCTTGGAGATGGAATCAAACAGTAGCTACCCTTTGAGAGTCACTTTTTTCACTAAACATAATCCCTTCCAGATCTTCAAAGTTTTATATATATTAATAGTTAACTCCTTTGCATCGTTTAGTATGTACGACTACTAGAATATTGCTTAGGAGGAGTGATCCAGCTTGGAGACGAGGGGGTGGACTGCTGATTTAATAAAACCTGTGGTATTTTTGTTATTAATCCAGCTTTGCAATAAAAAAAACCACCATAACAAAAACAACTCCTTAAATTGTGAATGTCTATTTTTAATATAATATATATTATATATTATATTTTTAATATAATATATATATTTAATATAATAGTGTTCATCTCTGTTTTAACTCAGCTTATTTTATCTCAAAATAGTCATGTTAACTTATTTTATTCTGCCATTTTAATCACACTACTTTTTCTTCTCTTCAATACCCAGAATATTAAATGCTGTTCCTTCTGGGCTCTCACAATAATACAGAATTCATATTTCTACAGTGTGATTTAGAAAGTACTAAGGGGGGACTGAGTGGTAAACAGATTAATAAGGAAATTTTAAAAGGGTTTTTTGGAGGTGATACGTTAGTATAAACTCATTTTGTTTGATAGATTTTATTTAAACCTTTTCAAATTGTGCGTATGTTGGGTCAGATTTCTCTTGATTTTAAGCCTAACAAATGATCCACATAGCAGATTCTGTTGTAACATTGTTTGTTTTGAATTCATCAATATTTATATGTCAGGGACGTGAGACTGAATCAACTTTGATGTATTTGACTGCTCTTAATTCCTTCATTTGTCAATATTACTGCCTACTCTGTGCCCAGCATCTTGGTAGGTACTAGGATACAGCGGTGAAGAAAATGTTTTGGTGAACAATAATATGATCCCATCTCCTTGCTAGAAGACCTATTCATAATGATTTCCCAAGAGAAATATAAATATAAAAGCTTATTGTTTAAAGAAAAGGGAAGGGGTTCTGTCATTGTCCTCTGCTTGTACAGTAAAGCTTTAAACCTGGTAACATTCTTTTGCACTGGTATTGCTCTAGTCAGTGACATTTTCATGGCAATATGTTAAGGGAACATTGCAGAGACCTTTGAAATTTCCTAGGTTAGAGATACTCTTCTATGTGCTCAGTGACTATACATTTATAGCTCAAGAAGAATTGCTTCTTTCTTTTCTCAGCTTTTTTCAATGTCCAATAGAAAACTGCACTTGAGTCTCAAATGTGGACACGCATGTGCATTCTTAGGAATAGATAGATTTGGTGCCTCATTCTCATGTTTGTTTCTTATTAGGCTCGCAGTTTCAAGCTTAACAATAGCATAAATGTCTGTTCAAAGCTTTATGTTCACATCTCTCAATCTACTAACTCCATATTTATATGTTTATACTAAAGAAGCAATCAGTACCCCAAAAATGCAGGAATGTTCATTGCAGTGACTTATAATAAGGAAAAACTTGGAGGCAAAAAGATGTTCAGCCATAAGGAACTGGTTAAATTATGTTCAAAAACATAAAAGGATCACATGCAACCATTAAAAATAATGTTATAAAATGATGAAGGGGCTGGAAACAATTATGTCTCTCCACTGTCTTAAACAGGCTTACGATTTGTACAGTTTTGTTTTCACACATACAAAATGAGAAAAATCAGAGACATATATAATAACACTAGAAAAAATACACATCAGAATGCTACTAGCCACACTCTAGGGCAGGGAGTGGAGGGTGAGCCTGAAATGATAGATATTTTTTATTCATACTTTATATATACTAACTTAACCAGCTTTAAATTTAAGCAGACAAAAATATCAATGGGTATGTGTGTGTCATAAGAGTGTGCTTACATATTTACAACTATGTGGCCAAGATTTCAACAGTGTGATTAAAAAAAACCCCACAACTCAGGAAGGAGACCTCTCAAGCTCATGCCTCACAGAGTGATACTTCCGCTCAACCCTGGGCCACCATGGAACCCCTATCTCAGCCACCAACAGGTGTAAGGTGTCAAGCAGGGGACCTGCTGTGGTTATTGGTCCCCTTGTGGAGCAAGATGAGCAACAACCAAGAAGTTCCTGTGTTTAAATAAATCAGAACAGGGTCAAAATAGGATCATTTGGGAGAGTTAAAATAATTGTGACAAGCCGAACATAATAATCCATTGCTTCTTTTCTTTTCCAGATATTTTATCCAGAAACAACAGATGTGTATGACCGGAAAAACATACCAAGAATGATATATTGCATTCATGCACTGAGGTAGGGAAAAATACAACTAAAAAATCTAGGAAATAAATTTAAATAAAACCACAATTTCACAATTAAGAGACCTTAATTGTGAGCTCTTAAGTGAAGAAATTTTTAAAAGGTTGAATTGTTTTTAATTTGCCGGCACAAAAATAATTGTCATATAACAATTCCTGAACTTGAAAAGTATTTTCTTGATTTTTAAAATGAATTCACAATAGAAAATCAGAAAATGAATGAAAGACCTTAGGTGTAATAAGGAGAAAATTTAAGCTGAAACTTCTAGGGATCTAATATGTTAATTTATTCTTCATCTGTGATATATTTTACTATAAATATAGCTGAAATATATCAAATGAACAACTGTAATGGTCATTATAATTTTGATACTCTTAAAATTACCAGTTTGGTCAATCCTTACCATAAATTAATAAAACTCAGTATAGGAATGGTTTCTTTTGCCCTTTTGTTCAGTGGAACTTGTACTTTAAGGATAGAGGGGAAACAAAATGACTACATTCATCAAATCAAGATACTTCTGCTATTACTTAAACTTTGAAAATGCTGAAATTTCACTAGTTCACAGATAAATTTTCATCCTACTGACTTGTAAGAAGTGGGATTTTTTATATGTTAATAAAGATGATCCTAAAAATCCAGTTTGTGACCATTGTCTCGCGTGCATACAGGTAATGGCTGGGAGACTCATGTCTAATTAAATTTAAAATTTCTTTTGGAACATCTGCCTTGTGTTTATATCACTAGAAGTCATTTTCCTGGCAAAGTCTTCTGCCTAGAGGTTTATATTAACTTCTTCCTGGCTTTCTTCCTCTCTGAAAAAGAAGGTTTCTATAATAATTCATTGCAATGCTGGCCCAGTAGACAAGAATTTTGATTATGTCATATAATTTGACTTTCCCCCCAAATCGGTACTTATGAGATTTCTTTGGAAGTTGACAGTTTATTGAAATATAGACCAAATGTGGGTGTCTTTTATATGATTTTTTTTATTCTAACGTTTTAGAACAACTGGGGAAAAACACCCACTCCTGTGCCTGCCTTCTTGTATGTGGCTAGTGTTATCATTATGCCAGCAGGTTTTCTAAAAATGTTTTGTCCAAAAGTCCTTATTTTGAGGAATATTTTCGAATGTGTTGCCCAACAATCCTTGTCAACTATTTTCAGTGCTCAGAATGATCACTTAGAACCCAGTTCTGTTTTTGTGACCTGCAGAACCAGTCACTGTCAGTTAATGGCATTATCATATCCATACATTGTGGTCTAATCTCCAAATCTGTATCATGCTCTTGGGGTGTCTTGTATAAGTTTAAACACCTGGAGTGTTAATGTTAAGCATTTATAAAGAGATGATGTGCTAAATTCCTTCTGGTGATGTCACTATTCTTTTAAAGAAGTTATGTAGAATTGCACTGAGACTGACAAGTATATATTTGTTACAGTTTTGACAATGGTTTGAATACTTGGTAAACAAACAAAATAGCAACCATTTGTTTATTATTGTCATTTGTATGCAAATGTGGGTGTTACTTTTTTTCTAGGAGGGTTTCTGTTATTTAGTTACTCATCTCGGAAGTCCCTGTTACTATCACTCATCACTGAGCCTTGCCTGTTACCTGTTCAGCCTGTCTTTGCCAGATCTGACTTAAGTAGGACATTTTATCTTTAAACATTTACTCAGTAAACAGCATTCCCCTGAAGAATCTCTTTACTTTTTCTGTTCTAAACTTTTCATAAGGCTGCCTTTTGGTATGAAACTGAGAAGTCTCAAGTGTGCCTAAAGCTTTTCCTATCATGAGTTTTCCTCTTACGGTTTAGAGTGCAGTCAGTTACACAGATGAGGCTGATGGAAAGCTCTATTGAGCCAGACACATTTGGAAGCCGGGGAGCAGAGCCCTTTAATAAGTACAGTGGGTTTGCCCTTGCTGTGTAGTTAGATGTTATGGTGGAAATGAACAAACACATCCCAACCATTACATCCTGGCTTCGATGCAGCAATATGGCTGGTGTAGAGAGTTGTCATTACCTGATAAGGAATTAGACTAGAATTCAACCTAGAGCCCAGGTTTAAGACGCTGCAGGTACCCAGGCACTGCCATCTTCTTGCCAAGCCTTATCTACAGTGTTTACTTTTGGTCCTTTCAACTTGTCTTCGGTTCTTTGTCTTCTCCATTTGGGCTTAATAACTTCATTAAGATTCCTGGGGGTTCTTCCCTTTGCTTCCTGTTTGTATCTACTTGCCCCCAGTCCCTTCCCCCCCCCACCCCCCCACCCCCCCATCCCCCGCTTTCCCCTCACCTTTCCACTGGAGATCTAACTGCAGTCTTCTTGCTTACAGCTCATTGCGCCCTTTGCCAGCTTAGCTTAGTGTCTCAGGCCCAGACTGTGTGAATGCCAGCACTGCAGCCCCAGAGGAAACCCTCAAGCTGCAGCGCAATTCACCTCAGTGATTATGGCCTCCTTCTTTCTTCAAAGAAATGATTCTTTTTTTTTCTTATTTAAAATATTTTACAATTATTTTAATATTTTTAAATTATTTTTCTTAAAAATACATTCATTGTGGAAAAAGAAGGAAAATTCAGAAAGAATATCAAAGGAAGGGCTAAAAGTGCCTGTTATCTGAACACCAAATGATAACCACTTTTTGTGACTATTTTGGTGTTTTTGGACTTAAAATGTATATGTGGCATATATTCTTTTTGTGTACTTTATTTGGAATGTTATAAAGTCTGTACAGTGACTCAAGAAGTCTTGCTAATGATTTTTTTTCTAAGTAGAAGCCTTTTGCATAGAGAGAAATGCTTTTTTGCATGTTGTTTATTTCTCGGTTTATTAAACTACTGTTAAATGTTTAATTGTTGCTTATAAAGTTGAATCCCTTTAAGTAAACTTAGTTGAACAGGTTTTCTGAACACTTCAAATACCTCAAAGCACAGGTGAAATACTTAGTACAAACCTACCATACTTAAATCTGTGGTTAAAGATCTACCCTGTAAGTTTCATGTGTTTCTTCATTACTAATTCTGACTCATCTTGGGCTATATTGTTTTGATGTCTACCCAGAATTGCCATGATCCTATGGGCACCAGAAGCAAAAGAATTAATATCCCTTTCAACCAGGCAGAGGATGCAGATTTGGTTTCTGACCAATCACTTGTCAATTAGAACATGGGTTATTATATTAGCAGGGAGCAGATTGAACTTTACTTGTTAAATAAATCTCATACCTTTAGAATTTTTTAGCATATGCCTCTCAGTCTGGTTCCTGAACCCACCCCACATACTATCACCCAGAAATTTATTTCTGTGTCTCCCTTGGCCAGTGTTACATAACCCATTGTCCTGTCACAATGATGTATTTGCCTGATCTGCTAACATTATTAAAATATTATGTATGCCTTTTGACTATTTTCTTGAAATTAGTTGGGCTTTCAGGAGGTCTCTCCCCCAGGAGGTGAAAGATAATGGTCTTTAGGCCAGGTGGCTGATTTATCATCTCTGATCATGTTTCTAGATCCTCCCTCTGCTTGACTGTTGAGCGTGGCCATCAGTGCTGAAACCTCTTTCTGCTTGGCTATGTTAATCACAAGCTGCATTCCTCAGTCCTTACTTTGGAATACTTCCTTGATTTTTCAGGACTACTTGGCTTCCTTCGAGATCCCGGTCTTTATTCTTTCCTATAGTATATGTGTAGTATAAATAGTATAAAAATAAGCACATAGCTGTACTCAATCAAGGAAAAAATAGAGGACCTGTGTTTTAATATTTCACAACTTGTTAAAATCAATACAAATAATTACGTAGGTCTGGCTTTATCTCTCTTTGTATTACAGCTTCCTTATTGTACTCTTTATTTTTTAATGCGATTTATTTTTTATTTTTTTAAAGATTTATTTATTTATACAAGCACTGGGTACAGTCAGAAGCACGGGAGGGTGAAAGAATTCACCAGAGCCAGAGCAGGGAGCAGAGCAGGCAGAAGGACTGAAGTACACTGCTGAGGGGAGCAGCAGGCGGCAGGAGAGGTCTGCGCGCCATGTGGGACCCTCCTCCAGTGGTCAGGGAGCAGCTGGGGATCAAACCGGCGCTGCAGAGGCCGCGGGCAGCTTCGCAACCCAGCGCTCAACTGCTGCACCACCGGGGAGGCCCTTCCTTATTGTACTCTTGATGTCATTCTCTTTTAATGGTGATTTCGATCTCCTGGCTTTGAATAGACTTAACCAAATTTAGTATCTTCATTTTCGATGAACCAGATGGATTCAGTTTTACCAGTGTGAGCGCTTTTTGGCCAGCAGCTTCTTTGACCTTGTAGAACTGTCCTTGACAGTCTTTGAAATATCCTTGCTTTGAGGTCACAATAGGACATTCCAGTCTTATCCTGATTACTCCTGCCTGAAGATAACTAATCCTCAAGGAATCCTTTTAAAGTCATGTATTGGTAATTATTTTTCTAGTCTGATAGGTTAGAGTCCTGAAGTTTACTTTTCTTACTGTGCTTAAAGTTTGACCATTAAGATCCCACTAGACTGACAACAAGCTGAAATCCGCCTCCCTCCAGAGAAGGACACAGCCTGCTGGAGCTACCACTCCAGAAGTCATGTTCTCGAATGCAGTGATGGTGTTGAAATAGTAACATCAGGGCTTACATATGTGAAAATGACTGTGGCAGGCCCACTTGTGGCTGGCCAGCTGTTCTGTGGCCCCTGCCTGCTGTGTGAAGACAGTCTCCTCCACCAGCTCTCCCACATAGTCACGTGGCTGTCTCACATACCCCGGTGCCTTTGAACCATTGCTTCGGGCATTAATGCATAACTGCCCAGGTCTCATTATTCCATTCCTTTAGAACCTATTTCCTATTAAATGAGTTTGATGCCTCATACCAGGTTGATTGCATCTCTGACAGAGGACATATTTGCATTTATAAATAAGCTTCTAAAGTTCCTTCACCCAAAGGACAGGCTGTAGTTCTTTGTCTTCAGCAGCCATATCTGCAGATGGCAGTACTGGGGATTAAGGTGCAGAGGGCAGTTGCATTTTCCTTCTCTTTACATTCACTCCTTGTTCCTGATCCCCACATACAGACCTTGAACTCTCCTCCTTTTCCAATCCCAAATTAGTGAGAAGGCTTTGCCCTTCGGTCCAGCTTAAAATCTAAGTTCTCTGAGGCTTTTGCATATCTGAATCACCTCACAAAGCACATATATTGTAACATTGATTCCAATGTGAAGTCTCTGGAGTTTGTATTTTTAACTTTTTTGATTGGTTTAAACCAATTAATTTCTCTGTGATAAGGCTCCCTCAAGATTTCTTTGGCGTTTTGACAGAAAATTCAATATAGATCACTGGATTTTGATGTGATACTGGCAGTGATATATGTGACTACAGTGAGAAAATTTTTGGTGCAGTAGATAAAACCAGTTTAGAGTCAACGAGGGGGAAATAACAAAAGATCCTTAGTATGGAATGTGGGAAAGCCACCTTGGTCGGTTATTAATAAATGTTTCTATAGAAAAGGTGCTCTTATTCTGACAGGTTATAAAAGTTATAATAAAAATAAATTATATGTCTGGTACTGCTCAAAGCACTGTATACGTGAAATTTCATTTCATCCTTGTAACATACCTGTGCAATTGGTGCTGTTTTTAACCCTGTTATAACCAAGACATTTTGAGGCACAGAGAGACTCTCCAGGGTCAGAGCCACTAAATCAGATTTGGAATTCAGACCCAGGTTATGTGACACCAGAACCTGACTTATTACTGACTTAAGTGGCTGTCGGCCTTAGACAGGTATCAAATATTACCCTGCTCCTAAAGAAAATGAGGGAAGAGTGGCATCAGTCTTGAACTTCAGCACTAGCCTCTAAGCTATGATATTGAGGATGTTTAAAATGAAGAATTAAAGGAACTTCCGAACTGAAAGCACCTGGAGGAGTTGGTTTAGTCCATATTCTTCAGTTCACAATTTCACAGACAGGGAACTGAAAGTGTGGGTCTGTGACTTGTTTAAAGTCACATATCTAGAAATTGCCAGTCTTAGGACCATTATCCAGGCCTGCTGACTCTACTCCAGTCATCTTCCCAGTCAGCTATGAGGCTTTGACTTCAAAACTTTTCGTCTCCCATGTTACAGCATAAAATGAACACATAATCTGATCCCAGAAAAGCTGGAATTCAGTCCACTCCTGCCTTTAGGTTTGCATTTCATTACTATGCAGTTTTAATAGCACCTTTTAATGTATATACTGAAAACAGTGGGGGGGGGGATAATAATAGTATTTTTTTACTTTTTTTATTGCTTCCTGGTAATATTTCTACAAAAAGGAACACATGGGCCAGTGAGGCCTTGGCTTCCTCAGGGCAACAGCTCCGTGACTGACCTCTCTCAGCACCACAAGCTTCTGTAACTTCTGGAGTGGGGAAAGGCTTGTGTTGCTCCCCAAGGGCTTTCTTATGCGTGGGAAGCAATGATGACATTAATTCCACAACTACTTCGGAATGCTCTCAGTTCTTTGTGTTGGTTGGTAAGCACAAAAGGTGCTTAATAAGTTCAGAGTTGAAGAGCTACAAGAAACTGGTATTTTTATATCACACAGCCTTTTTTATTTTTTTAAGATGAAAACTCTGAGTTTCCCATTTGCTTCAGAATGAATGGCCTCATTTGAATTTAAATGCTTGCGAAGGAGGGGGCTGCTATTGCTGATTCTTTTCAGCATGGGAATACTGGATGAGTACAGTTTCCTAGTAAACATTCACCCCTTTAAGTAATCTGCTTGGAAGTACCTCCCGTACAGAAATTCCTTAGAAAACTGCCACCTTGTGAAAAGGGATCTTTTTAAAGCTAATAGTTTAACTTCAACATCATACATAAGTGTTAAAATTTGAAGCCCAATACAAACAACATGTAATGTTCTCGTAAAAGTGAGATTTGAACCTAGTCCATACTAGTTTAAGAAAATCTGATTAAAATCAAATTTAAAAGTCAAGATGGATCTGAAGGGTAACTTCTCAGCACCACCTAGTGGTAGCCTTTAGTTAGAATGTTTGCTTGTGAAATGCTTGCCTTAGCATGTATAACAGAGAAAGAAGAGTATAATTGGAAACAGTCATGTAATTTCTTTCCTACCACAAGGGAAAATTAACACTTTTTTTGGTATAAATACTTTAGTTCAGATTTCCAACAACCCCGTGTTTCATGGCAGCCTAAACACCTTTAGTTTAGGGGCAGCATGGTAGAGAAACAAGTTTTTAATAGTCTATATTTCAGAAATAGTCATTAAGTATATAAATGACTCAGCAGAGGAGGTAATGTGAAAAGAGTTACATCAAGGTCATTGATAGCACATACCTCTCGCACTCTTTCTCAAACAGACATCAAATTACTAAACTAATAATTTTAAAAATACCTTTCCAAAAAAAAAATTCTATTCACTGACCAAAAATTAAAATGTCTCATGACAGAAAGCAAACCAATGGGATTAAATTGACTGAAAAACGAAATGGGAGAAAACCACAGGTCAGAAATCACTCAGGGGGCTGAGGGGGATGCAGCAGAGCTCGGACCTGGTGTGGGGCTTGCTCCAGGCAGAAGCAAGGAGTACAGCCTCTGGGCCCACATCATTTCGCTTGGACCAGGTAAGTCTTGATCCTTCCCTGAAGCAACAAGTGCAGATGAGGGGGAGGGTAGCATGTAGTACCTGAGACAGCTAATGACCCCCCAAAAATGCATGGGGATCCCCATCCTAAGTCCCACCACCTCCCTCAGGCTGGCTCCATCATAGGACCTGCAATCAACAACACACAAATAGCAAGTCTCAGACCCTGAGATGAGCCCCAAATCAGGGAAAACCACATTTGAGGAACCAACACTATGGAAGAGACATTAACTTAGACAAACAGAACTAACACCCAAGGAACAAAGCGGACATATTAAAGCATGTGCAACTAGTGATCTGTTTGATTTATTTAACAAATAATTATGGAGCACTTAGGCTTATACATAAAGCTAAAGGTGAAACTGTTATTGTAACAAAGTACATGCACAAAAATGCATCTCTATATAAAGAGGTTCACTGCAACATTATTTGCTATAATGAATAACTAGAGCCCATCTAAAAGCTCAGCATCATTTGGTTCAGTAATTACAGTACATTCATATTAGAAAATACAATATGAGTTTATGCAATAAATAATTCCTGAAACAGCATTAAAAGGATTGAAATCAAAGTTTTAGTGTTTAAGTGCTAATTTTCTATGTAATTTTAAAGCCATGATCATGAATTTTTAATTTTGATCATGTATTTCCTAAATGATTTTTTTATGGAAATGATTGAAGAAAATTAATCTAAATGCATGCTGCTTACATTGATTAATCATACATTTGAGTTTATTTGAATACCGTTAAAACTTGATATTGAACTCCTTCAATGAAATTTTAAGTATTTTATAAATCACTCAGATCTACTGCACCAATATCTGAAGTGATAATTTTGAAAATTTCAAGCCATTGAAATTATTTTCTGTGTATGTTATTGTATAACTTCAACTTTGTAAAGTCTCATAAATTATAGACCCGTCAAAATTGATAAAGTGAATATAGATTTTTTTCAGTTGATCTATGGAATTAATCTTGGGGTCTGGGGAAGTTATAAATATGGAACAGAAATTATTGCTCAGTGATTAAGTGGGAAGAGCAACATCACTATATATTTTCATTTTCTTTGGTAGAGTTTAGATCCAAGCCCTAAGATGCTTTTGTCAGATTATGGATAGTTAGTGGGTGCCATCATTTACTTCCTAAGGAATTTTAAATATATATATAGAAACATTTACTCCCACTCTCCATCAGGTAATATGCCCTGTTGATCAATAACCTCATCCACTGATATATTTATTGTCTTGCCACTCTGTTGGTTCAGAAAATATAAAGCAAATGTTTCTCAAGCAGCCTGTGGTACTTGGAGAAATATTGAAAAGCAAAATATAATTTGAGCTGTACTTTCGACAAAATAAGTATCATGTAAGGAATATCCCAAGAAATATTGATTACACTTGTTACCTGCCGTTTTGTGTTAACTTCATCTCCCTACAAGTGGATGGCAGTTGACCAGGTAGAAATACTATTTGCTACAGAAGGTTGGACTTTGGGATACCTCTGCTTTTTGGGGGGTCATTAGCTGTCTCAGGTACTACTTGCTACCCTCCATCTACATTTGTCGCTTCCAGGAAGGATCAAGGCTCATTTATACCAATCTTAGACTGAGATTCTTGCCCTGGACCCACCAAAGACTGCTTCCTCGGGACACAGTTTCCTCATTTGTAAAATGAATGGATTAGAGGACATAGTCTCTTAGGTCTTTCTCAATTGAAAAAGCCCTTAAGATTTATGTGATGTCTTACTCTTACGATTTTTTATGGTAAAGTTGTTGATAATTTTGTGTTTCTTCTTGCAGTTTATATCTCTTCAAACTTGGAATTGCACCCCAGATACAGGATTTGTTGGGAAAAGTAGATTTCACAGGTACTACTCTTCATAAAATTTTTAAAATGTAGTTACTAAGAAAATGTATCAATACTTTTTTAAAAAAAAATTATTGCTATTGATACCTTTTTTCCTCTGTATTGATCAAAGGAGAGAACTTCATGTCTTTGTTTATAGTTGACCAGGTTTCCTCCCATATTTATAAAATGGGAAACTAAGACCATTTTCTTCTCGAAGTTTTAATTTAGAAATGGCCCCACCTGCTTGAGGAGGACATTTCTTGCTGTGGATATACTAGTTGTGCCTTGGTGTCTGTGCCTTGCTTTAATTTTTGTTGTTCTTTTTCAGAGGAGGAAATCAGTAATATGAGAAAGGAACTGGAGAAATATGGAATACAGATGCCATCTTTCAGCAAAATCGGTGGTATTCTGGCTAATGAATTGTCCGTGGATGAAGCTGCACGTAAGCCCGTTTAAAATCTGAACTTGACACTGACGTGAGACATACTAATACCTTACTTACTGATTTTAGCTATGAGAAAAAGAATGTTTAGAATACACTTTTGGACTCTATGAGTATTTATGATATGCATTAGAGATGGCTAATTTGAGCTTCATAACCTAGACATCTACTCATGCAATGTACCACACATATTTTCCTTCATTCTCCACAATACTCCTCTACTTCTCGTGTCCTTCAATTTTAGTGTGTAATGCTGTGAGTCTTTCCATTAAATTGCAAGTATGTCTTGGAAACAGCATTGTGCTTTCAAAGTGTCCATGCTACCCTTTCAGCTCCCAGTGGCTGACACTGTGCTTGGTTCATTTTAACCGTTCAGTGCAAGCTGGATAAATGAATAGGGATTTTTTTTTAAGATTTATTTATTTATGCATACAAGAACTGGGGTACAGTACAGAGATGTGGGGCATGAAAGGATTCACCAGTGACAGAGTGGGGAACAGAACAGGCAGATTGACTGAAATACACTGCTAAGCAGCGTGTGGGTCAGGAGAGGTCTGCTGTGCCATGTGGGTCACCTCCCTGGCCTGGCCAGGGATCAAACTCATGCTGTGGTGGCTGCAGACATCTTCACAGTGCTGCATCTCAACCCCTTGTGCCACCAGGGAGGCCCTGTAATAAGGATTATTTAACAGGTGCTGAGACAGGACCTAGGTGGGTGGTTGTGAGAAGATGCTCTGTGTTGGGTTTGAGGTCTCTGGCATGCTTACTGGCAGCCAAAGAAGAAAGTAAAACTGTAGTGCTTATGCAGTGTTGATGCAACTGTCCATGTTGTCTTTTGCTGATAAAATTATTCCTTTTTCTCTTTTCAGTGCATGCTGCAGTTATAGCCATTAATGAAGCTGTTGAAAAGGGAATCGCAGAGCAGACCATTATAACACTAAGAAACCCAAATGCAGTCTTAAAATATGTGGATGACCATCTTGCACAGGAGTATCAGAAAGAGCTCTGGGAAGCCAAGAGAAGAAAAGAGGAAGATGCAAGAAGGAAGGTATTTAATTAGATTCTGAGTAATAAATACAATAATAAATGTGGTTATGAGCTACTGGTTTGAAAAAGCCTTAATGTTAAAAGTGATACTTTTGAGTCAATTGGCTATGGTCAGCTATAAGCGGTTCATTTGGGTTAAATGTTTCAGTAAAAGAAGATGATGCATGTGTAAGAAAGCTAGATTCCCTTCGATGAATATTATAGGTTGCAGAATAGAAGGTCATGTCATAAACACTGGGAGTACAGAAGTAGCGGCAAAAAAATCATCCCATAACAGGCATTACCAGCAGTTTTTTCTTTAGATTTCTTAACAGTAGTTGGTAATTCAGTGTGGTGAGGCTCAGAGAGGATGTTCGAATCCACCCTCATATTTTCTAAACAGCATACCCTTCATAGTTGAAGAAGAAGTTTCCCTCTTCAGCAAAGCAGCCTGCCCCTTATGCTGACATCACATTTCCTGCCTTCCTGTCTGCTCAGTTACTGAAAACTTTACTCTCACAACTTTTGCTTCTGCAGTAGCTGTCCCCTCCTTGGCCTCTCACCATTACTGGTTTCAACTTCATTTCCAAGAGTACTGACTTTGTCTTACCACTTGTCGCCACTGATGGCTTCCACCCCATCCAGCACACCTGCCCTACGGTCTCTGCTCCCCTGGCTTGTGCGCACCTTTTCAGCTGTGGGTCTCCTCTGCATCTCTTAGCATCTCTCCTTTGTCTTCCCTCTAAATATGGGGGTATGCCAAGGTCTGACATTGAATATCTCCTCTTTCTTCTTCCTCAATTGAATTTATCTACTTGTTGAAGAAATCAGCTGTCAGCTTGACAGCTTCACACCTCCCTTGTCCCTAAAGAGTATCCTCTGTCTCCCAGGGCTTCACTCTTATCCCCATAAGATAAGGGCTTCACTCTATCTTCACTCACGCATGTGCCTCTGCTGAGCTTCCTTAGAATAATTCCCACGTTGTTTCAGAATTCTCTCCTTCCCCCATGTGCTGTCCACACCTTGTTCTGTCACCTCTTCTTACCAGGCTTACAGCCTCACCTGCTTCTACTGTCTCTACTCACGTCTCAAGATGCTCGCAGTACCTTCCTCATGGGGTTACCTATGTCCTGTTGTTCCCCAAGCCAGCAAGCCAGCCCCTCTCAGAAGGAGGTTACAAAATCAATCTCTAACTACTGGTTGGGTGTCATCCCACTAGAGGACACTCCTCATTCCCTGCTACCCACTGAGAGAAGTATAGGGCCTCCAGGTAATCCTTCTCACCTCCCCTGCTTTTCGCCAGACCCCAGACCTGCTCCATGCTGTAGCCCAATATGGCCACATTCCTACCTTTGTGAGAAAATCATGCTGCTGGAGCCTGTCTGTTCCACCCAACCTTGAACATTCTTCCACCCCTCTTCGATTATTGTCTTAAAATTATTATTATTTTAAAATTTTCTTCCCCACCGAATATATACTTCTTCTGTACAGTCTGTTTGGTTCTGATATGTTTACTCCTTCTTCGTGTTCTTGATTTTATTAGATAGAGTCAAATGACATTGTCAGTATCAAACTGTTTTTGATCTGCAAAAAAAATGGCCATATCAAAGGTTCAACCTGGTGCTCTCAGCTGTACACAACTAGGCCTTTTCAGAGAGTCCTGGGGCCTCTTCTTCATTGTCATCCTTGTGAGTGTCTCTCACCCTAGAGCCCCGATGAATGCTTGCATTGACTTCAAAATCAATATTGGTGGTTTTATCACTTTTCCATTTTTAAATGTTGAGATTTGGAAACATTTTACTTAAAAGGAATCGGTGAAAACTTTGTTTTACAGAATAACTGTATTTCAGAAGAAGAAAGAGACGCCTATGAAGAACTGCTGACACAAACAGAAATCCAAGACAATATCAATGCAGTTAACAGTAAGTAATGGATCAGGTGAAAGAAATGGGCGTCTCCATAAGATACACATTCTCCTGGTCCAAATCTTTGATTAACTCTCAACTTGTATCATTAACAACTGACTTCTGTAATGAAAAAAATCCACTGCTTGTTGGTGTTGCTCTTCATTATGGTACGTAATCTGACTGTTCGTCAGGAGCTTTTTGGTGGTCTTGCTTATAGTCCATTCAGAATATCTCAAATCATTTTCTATTTCATCAAAGGCACAACACATTCATCTTTTGAACCTGTGCATTATTGGGCTAATATGGAAGTTATTTAGTAAAAGAATGTAACTTTAAGATTATTCCTTGTCCATGATCACACGATGATATGCTCTTGGTACTGTGAAAAAATCCATGGACACCTCTGCTCTTTATTAATTCCTGGTCATTAGTCTGCAGTTTTGCAAGAATTGATCTCTTACAGCTTGTGTAGCTCTAGTGCAAATGGATGAGACTGAACAGGCCAGTAGATTCACAAGGTTGCAAGTTTGAATCCACATCCCTGAATCTCCATGGAGTTTGCAACATTCATTTCCTCTTGATACCAGTTCAGTTGTGTGTCTATAAAGGACAGAAACTTGGGTAATTAGAATAAGCATATGCAAGTTTAGATACATTAATCTCCTTAGTCTTTTTTCCCTTCACTACTAAAATTTATTTTTACTTGAGGCAGTAGGGAATTCCATCTGACATTCATTTCCTCTAGATCAGTCCCAATAACCCATATATACCCAGAAAATTAACACATAAAAGACCATTTCGCCTATTAATAAAGTATACAACCTCTCTGACATATTCAATCCTAGAGTATCCACAAATTACAACAGGCCTAATCCCTGCCCTCAACTTAACACCTAGATGAGCTATGAATTGTCTTTATTGCTCTTCCTAACACTTACAAAAAATGCATTCTTGTAAATATTACTAGAAAGTTTGCTCCTAATTTGCTGTTATAGGCATAACCTAAGGGATTGAAATAGAAAACAGGGAAGCCTCGATAAGGTTGATGTCAACATCTAGGAGTTAACAGAAAATTTACTCCTTTCTGCCTACCCATCCCCCTACTCCCTCACCCCTCCATATCCCCCCCCACTGCCTCTGCCCCCACCCCCCACACACACACTCTGCCAAGAACTCTAGGATAACTTTTTTTCTCAGGGGAATACCTTAACATTTTGGTTGGTGTGTTCTTGTTCTTTTGTTCTTATTAAATTTTTAACATGTTGGTCATGATACATGAAGCACAATTTAAAATTTCTTTCTGTTTTATTTGAAAGCTAAGAATTTCATTACACTTGACAGAAATGAATTATAGGGAGAAATTGATATTGCCAGTGAAATATCTAAGGTCCTTAAGCTTGGTGAGGAAATAATTCTGTAGTCTTTTACCATCCTTTAGTTCTGAAATGTTTATAACCACAGATTTCTTTTTCATGTTGAATAAATGCTTTATATAAATATTTTAATACCTTACTCAATGACCTAATTTCCACATCCCAAATTTAATGACAAATTGTACTTTTTCCCCCATTTTTAAATGAAATGGATAAGATGATTTACACTAATGCATAGCCAGCTGAAATTGTGAAGGACATTGCAATGTTTGATGTCTGTAAATGTGTAGTCCATGATTATTCTGAAGTTTATCTCTCCCCATTTGAAAATTTATTGTCTAGTAGGACTAGAACTGGTCTTGAAAACACCATTTAAAGGCTGCTTTTTAATGACACATGAGACATTTGTATGCTTTAAGATGCATAAGTATAGCTACTGGACAAGCTTTACCCCAGCTGTGCAGGTTGTTACAGTAAAATGTTAAGGTACGTTCATAGCAATCATAATAATGACATAAATGACAAGTTAAATAGTAATGACGGCGGATCTGTTGTCAGAGTCTTCTGCTTTGTTGGAACTGCAGTTATTTAACTTTAATGGGGTTTGGCACATGCATTCCAGTCAACACATGATATACCTATTAACATCAGAACCGGGAATTTTATAAATACTGGTGTAAAAAAATGGCTAAGCTTACTTTATTTTTTTCTTTACAAAGAAGTAGTTCATTAAGAGTGGTTTTAATGATACAACTTTCTGATAACATTTACCATGTAGCTGTACAGACTAATATAACAGAGTTTTCAAGGTGAAGCAAAATCCTATCCAAAGTAATCAGACACAACTGAAAGACTCTGGATAACTTTATTTATTTATTTATGCAATTCATTTTTTTAATATATATTAATTTTTTTTATTTTTTTACATCATTGTTCATTTTTAAACAATATTTGCTTCCCCCCCTCAGGTGTAGTCCCCATAGAGTTTCCTTCACCAGTGTACCTGTGCACCATCACCTCAGTGCCCTATGCTCCTCCCTCCCTCCCTCTGATCCCTCTCCCTCCTCCTCCCCTGTAGTATGTCTCTGATTTATAATTGTCCGTTTTTGCTTTGTTGTGTTTTGTACCGTTACTATTTTTTTTTCACACTGATGTCTTATTTGGTTCCCCTATATTCCTGCTATATAAGTGAAACCATCTGATATTTTTCTGTTTCCTTCTGGCTTATTTCACTGAGCATAATTCCTTCTAGTTCCATCCACATTGCTGCAAATGGCATGAGTTTATCTTTTTGATTGCTGAATAATATTCCATTGTGTATACATGCCACATCTTCTTGATCCAGTCATCTGTTTTTGGGCATTTGGGTTGTTTCCAGGTTTTACCTATTGTAACTAGTGCTGCAATAAACACAGGTGTACAGGTGTTCTTTTGAATCAATGTTTTTGTGTCCTTTGGGTAGGTCCCTAGGAGAGGAATTATCAGGTTGTAAGGTAGCTCCATTTTTAGTAGACTGAGGAACCTGACCCTGGATAACTTTAAAAGAACAGCAAACAACATGCATAACAACCTACCTTCCTTTCTTCTGTTTGTCATATTAATTCTAAGAATAGAAAAAAGTGTTTGGGTTCTTAGGGTACCATAGAATAAGTGTAAGTTTTCTGGGGGTGTGGTATGAAAGATTGCATTGACAGTAAGTATTCCTTCTATTGTATGACATCTCTTAGTAGGAAGGTTATTGTAGGTAGCTCCCTGTAAATAATTAGAGAAGATAGTCAGCTGTTAAAAAAGGTTAGAATAATCTTAGCTGGAATCTAATCATGTGTTAGACAGACTATCCCTTGAAAAGCTGTAGAAATTATAGGTCTGCATTATTTCTGCTGTCCAGAAGCTGCCTTTTGAGGGCAAAACTGGTTCTGTCTTGTTTGCTGTTGCCTGGTGGCAGAGTTTATCAGTCATTCTTCCATTTGGTCAGCAATTCCATTTCTTCCTTTAACTATTCACTCTTCAGGCACCCTTAAAATCCAGGTCTTTGTAATGGTAACATTGCAACTGGTGGAGAGGTCACAGAGTTAGAGGTTGGATAAATAATGGTTTTAAAGAACTTTGTAAACAAAGACATTCCTGTAGTCAGGGTTTTTTATTGTTAAATAATATTAGCATAGATGAGTCATAGGAATTTTGGCTATCATATACTTTTTAATGTATCTGCAGTTACTTTTCCTTAAGAATAACATTCCATTGGGGGGGTGGGGGGCGGGAGGGGAGGGATTGGGATCAGAAAGGGGGGGTTGCAACTGTATGGGGAATATAAAAATAAAATTTATTATTAAAAAAAAAAGACACTGTGGGAAGTAAATGATGAATCTGGGTTTAAAATAATGGAAGGCTGGTTAGTAAAAGTCAATTTCTTAAAAAAAAAAAAAAAAAGAATAACATTCCATAGAATATAATAGTTGAGAGAGGAGATTCCGAGAAGTAACTGTAGCATCAACATCAAGCAGCAGTGTGTCTGGGTGCCCCTTGTGGGTTTCCAGCACTGATTCAGAGGGAGGCTGCAGCAGCTCTTCTTGGGGAGGCAATCCTAGCACATTAGGAGCATTAAAGAGCATTAAAGAGTGATGCCTGCAGATCACTGTGGCTCAGAGTTAAACACCAAGGGGATTTCCGTGGTGTGTGAAGTCCTCAGAGACCACAGCAATGGGAAGAGGTGGGAACAGACTGGTCCTGTAAGGAAGGATTTTGCAGGGAAGTCATGCCAGGCTGGAATGATTTAACTCACAGCTGAGGTTCTTTTAGGGACCAACTCCAAGGGTTGGACTGACTTTTAATTATTGAGCTGCCATTTCCAAGCCTCTACCTACTCGCCAACTGCAGCCTTTCAGAATTAATGGAAAGTGACTATCTGCATTCTAATCCTTGGTGAGATGGGCTGGTTGGGTCAGGGAGTGGTGTTTGGAGAACAGTCTGACAGAATGTGAACCCCCACCCGCAGGGTTGGCCGCGGTAGACCACATCAACGCTGTTCTTCAGGAAGGCGACCCGGAGAACACGCTGCTTGCACTGAGGAAACCCGAGGCCCAGCTGCCTGTGGTGTATCCCTTTGCTGCCATCATGTATCACCACGAACTTTCCAACCTTCAGAAACAGAACACCACGGTAAGTCAGAGGAGACTCCCATTTGGGAGATGTTAATACTGAGTCCAAGAAATGAAGAAGCCTGTTCAGGAAAGGTGAAGGGGTATGGCGTCTTTATCTTGTACCAATCTCTAGTCTCAGTGGACTAACCATACCAATTCTGTGGCCACCATCCTCTTTAGCTCCTGCTTCTATTTACATAAAGAATCTAGAGTATAGTTAAAGAGATGCAGACAGGGTTTCCCACAAATACATCTTAAAAACAGGTTGTTCTTATTCTCTGTGATTTTTTCAAGAACTTTGGATAATTTTTTAAGTATGCTACAATAGGTTTAAAATATGAAATATTTTTGTTATGGAAAAATAAGCTCTGAATCTGCATTTCTAGAAATCTAGAACTAAAAACATCATTATGGCTTTGACTTTTGTAAATTTATGCTCCTTAATATGCTAATTATATTAAGCAGTCATATTCATATAAGGTGATTAAATTGCAGTGTGGTAACTAAGTTACAGTGATTAGGAGATTTATACTAGTGCAGGATTAAGTCAAACAATGGAACAAAATGAAAAATACTGGACACAGAGCCAAAAATTTAATAGACGAGGGAGCTAGTATTTCAAAAAGCTGGAGGAAGGAATGAAATCCTTAAAGTGTTTTACCATTTGGAAAAGAAAACATGGCCTCACTATACATATCAGAATAAATGTCCATTTAAATATTAAACACAGAAAAATATTTAAAAATTAACATTCGAAGGAATGTTAATTCCTTAGACTTTAGATCTTAAAAATCAGAAGCAGCACTGGGCCACCAAAAAAAAAAAGGGGGGGCGGTGGGGGAAGAGGCCAAGAACATGAGCAGACAAGTTACAAAATGAGGAATGTAAAAATGACAAACAGAAACTGTTCAAGCTCAATCAGAAGTAAAGACATGTAAATTAAAATGAAATATAATTATTTGTAGAAGTCAGATTGGTAAAGATTGAGAAATTTAACCTTATAGGGGTGAGAATTTGGGGCAGCAAGCATCTCCCACAGAGCTGATGGGCGTGCGTGCAAGTGATGAGATCTTTCTGGAGGGCAACCTTACTAACGTTAGGACATAAGCTGGAAGAATGTGAGTCCAAAAAGTTTTGGCCTCAGGGATGTTTCAGAGAATTGTCTATAATACTGAGAAGCAGCCAACAAACCACATGTTTAGCAACAGATTGCTTAGTTCCTGGTACTTCCACATGCCCAAAATAATATGTAACCAGCAAAAATGACTGTGCAGAGTAGAGATCAGAAAAGATGTGCACACTAGTAGTGGAAAAAATGAGTTTGAAATATAGAGCATTATCTTGCTTTTTGATAATAAGAGGGGGAGTCAGTGGAAAAAACAAAACCTCTGTAAATGTTTGCATGAATTAAAAATAAAAGGATATGCACTAAAGGGCTGGGTGGTAGGAATTATTCTTATTCTTGCTTCTCAAGGCTTTCTAAGTTTTATAAATATAAATATACTGTTTTTTGGTAAAAGAAATAAAGATTATTTTCTTAGACTGCACTAGCTTCTCTCGTGAATATCTTCCTACTTCTCTAGCTTTGAAACCCAAGGCTATTTCCCCTCCTACAGTGTTCTCCCCAGGGTCAACAGTCAGTTTCCGGTTGTCTGACCCCATTTCTTTTAATTTTTCCTATCTTTTTTTACCATATCCTACTTTAGATGTTTGTGAGAAGTTCACTGAAAGCGCTAGAGGTGAATTTCAAATTATTCCATTCTGCTCTTACAATTTAATACCTTTCTTATATGTTAAACTTGGAGTTAATGGAGTATATTTGGAAAAAATTCACTTGCTCTCTATCATAACTCTTTCCCATTTGCCTTGGAAGGTAAAATTATTGTTTGTTACTATGAAAGCTGTTGGCTGCAAGATTTCTACAGTGATCTGGAAAGCTATAATAATGCATTTTAGCTGTGAATATTACATTTTATATACTAAGTTAATATAATGCTATATATATTAAATATATCCTGATGGAAAGATATATATCAGTTTTGGAGTATATTTTTGGGATTTGTTTCATGCTCTCTTTATGTTCTTTCAATATGATGAAAGAAATATCCTTTTTGAAATTGGGCCAGGTCAATATAAAATGGTTAAATGAAAGAGAACATTCAAAGGGAGGTAATCTGAAACCTAAGATATATATTTTTAAATAAGCCAAATCCAGATTTATAAATCATATAAGTCTGGAGAGCCTTACTTTACCAAAAGATTTAGTTCACATTTCTGCAAATACCAGAACTTATAGTACGTTTAAAAATATCTACCCAGTTATAAAAACAATGTGACTGAGATTAACTCTTGGAATTAGCATCAATATTCTTGGTTTAAAGATGTTTTCTGGCTGTGTAACTTGTAGGTGACTCTCTCCCACTTTTCCTTTAGCTTACTTCAAACTGACAGTCATTAGCTATGGAAAAATCTTGTCCACTCTGTCAGAAGAGACAACATTGTCTAACACTTGGTTTAATTATTTGGTAGGAGTGAGGTTGTAAATAGCCGTTATATCTGGACATAGGAATCCACTATGACAATGGAGATGCTTATGAAACCGAAGCTTCTAGTATAATTAACTCTCTTCCAACATGACCAGCTAAGGAAAACCTAGGAGCTTGTTAATCTGTTCTTTAAAACCAGGGAAAATAAACGGTTATTTAACCCTCCTTCTCCTGGATTTTCAAAATCTTTGACTTTTAATTGTTCTTTGTATTGTGACCCCTGAACCCATCACATACAGGAGGTGTGTAGTTTGGGGAACTTACATTGCTGCACTGTTTCCAACAGAACTACCTGGCCCACGAGGATCTCTTGATTGCAGTGGAGATGTTATCTGCCGTTGCTCTACTAAACCAGGCCCTGGAAAGCAATGATCTCGTGTCTGTGCAGAATCAACTCAAAAGTCCAACCATAGGCTTGAACAATCTGGATGAGGCATATGTGGAACGGTAAGGAACATTTTCCAAACCTTCCTCCAACACAGAAATGTGTGTTCGGCAGCTATCACCAATAATGACTTGTTTCTTACCTAAGAAATCCATGTATGAGGCTCATTTTCCCAAACTTTAAAAGTTCTCCTAATTTAGAGTCCTTCATTAATAGTAGGCCTTTTAGGGGGAACAATCTTAAAAAGACCACATTGTGGCAATTACTAAATGACTTTGTCATTAGCAAAGATTATTTGATAAGCTTAACATGAAGTAACTGTTCAAAACCTACCTTCCCTTGGGCGTCTTTTGGAGAGAACATAAAAGTGAAGTGTTGAGAGCAACTTTATTAATCATCCAATAGTTTTTTTTAATTTTACTGGTAAAGAAAGAAAATCTGAATGGGTCCCAAACTCTCATTATTATTAAACCAAAGAATCCTGAAATTAGTGGTTCATGGCAGTGGGTTTTAACTTTAGTCGCTTTCACTTCACGTTCCTGAAAAGCATACTGATAGTATTATAAAACATGATAGCAGATCTAGGAGTAAAATTAAGTGGCCAGAATAAGGAGCCAAGTTAAAGATTTTTGTAAGACAAAAACCCATTGAGGGATTTTCTGTCCTGGTTTCTTGTGACCACTAGGGGGAGTTCTGTCTGCATGGAGCCTAACTAAAAGTTTTTCAGATACTAATTCCAGAACTGCTTGATTGAGTAGATTCGGTAACATATTCTCTTAGGTCATGTATATTTGTATAGTAAAAGTAAAAAGAGCTCTCAAATTAAAAAATAAGTGGTTTTTGACCTCTTGTCTATGTAGAGAATGGCTAGGACAGTGGATTTTCCTTGATAGTTGTATTCTTTTTTTTTTTTCACATATTTTGTCACTGTTTATTAATCTGAAAACTACCTTATATCAATTTTTTTAATTTTAATTTTATTTTTATATTCCCCATACAATTGCAATCCCCTTATTTTGACCCCAATCCCTCCTTTCCGTGACCCCCACCCACCATAGTGTCTCTGGTTCATAGTTTTTTGTTGATTTTGATTTTTACTTTCTTATAGTTATTCTTTTTCCTGGTCTCTTATTTAAGTTTTCTAGATTCCTGCTATGAGTGAGACCATCCGGTATTTTTCTTTTTCTTTCTGGCTTATTTCGCTGAGCATGATCCCTTCCAGCGCCATCCATGTTGCTGCAAATTGCATATGTTTATCTTTTTTGAATGCTGAGTAATATTCCATGATGTATATGTACCACAACTTCTTGATCCAGTCATCTATTTTTGGGCATTTGGGTTGTTTCCAAAGCTTAGCTATTGTAAATAGTGCTGCTATAAACATAGGGGTGCAGGTGCTCTTTGGAATTGATGTTTCTGTGTCCTTTGGGTAAATACCTAGGAGTGGAATTGCTGGATCATATGGAAGCTCTATGTTTAGTAGGTCCAGAAATCTCCACACAGCTCTCCATAGTGTTTGGACCAGTTTGTACTCCCACCAACAGTGCAGGAGAGTTCCTTTTTCTCCACACCCTCGCCAACATTTGTTGTTGCTAGTTTTTTTAATATGTGCCATTCTCACTGGTGTAAGATGGTATCTCATTGTAGTTTTGATTTGCATTTCTCTGATTATAAGTGATGTTGAACGTTTTTTCATGTGCCTGTTGGCCATTTGCATTTCCTCTTCAGAGAAGTTTCTTTTTAGCTCTTCTGCCCATTTTTTGACTGGATTATTTTCTTTGTTTTTGTTGACTCTCATCAGTTCTTCATAGATTTTTGTGATCAGTCCTTTATCATTAGTGTTGGGTGCAAAAATGTTCTCCCAGTCTGTGGGGTTTCTCTTTGTTTTTGTTATTGTCTCTTTTGCTGTGCAGAAGCTCTTTAATTTGATGTAGTCCCAGCTGTTTATCTTTGCCTTCACTATCACTGCTTTGGGTGATGTGTCTATAAAGATGTCTTTGATGTGCATATCATGTAGTGTTTCACCTATATTTCCTTCTATGTATTTTATGGATTCAGGTCTTATGTCTAGTTCTTTAATCCATTTTGACTTGGTTTTTGTGTATGGTGTGAGGTAGTAGTCAAGCTTCATTCTTTTGCATGTAGCAACCCAGTTTTCCCAGCACCATTTATTGAACAAACTTTCTTTGCTCCAATGCATATTCTTTGCTCCTTTGTCAAAAATTAGTTGACCATACATCTGTGGATTTATTTCTCGATTTTCTATTCGATTCCATTGATCTGTGTGTCTGTTCTTGTTCCAATACCATGCAGTTTTGATGATTATGGCTTTGTAGTACAGTTTGAAGTCTGGGAGTGTGATGCCTCCATTCCCTTCTTTTTTTTTCAGGAGAGCTTTGGCTATTCAGGGTTTTTGGTGATTCCATATGAATTTCATCAATAATTGTTCTATTTCTTTGAAGAATAACATTGAAATTTTTATTGGAATAGCACTGAATCTGTATATTGCTTTTGGTAGGATGGCCATTTTAATAATGTTTATTCTTCCAATCCATGAGCAGGGGATGTCTTTCCATTTCTTTGTGTCTTCTTCTATTTCTTTTAACAGTGTTTTATAGTTTTCTTTGTAAAGGTCCTTTACCTCTTTTGTTAGATTTATTCCCAAGTATTTGATTTTTTTTTGTTTCAATAATAAAAGGGATGGCTTTTTTGATTTCTTCTTCAGATTTATTGTTTGTGTATAGGCAGACTACTGATTTTTGCGTATTGATTTTGTATCCTGCCACTTTACTGAACTGATTGATGAGTTGAATTAGTTTTTCTGTGGAGTTTTTGGGGTTCTTTATGTATATTATCATATCATCTGCAAATAGTGATAGTTTTACTTCTTTTCCTATTTTGATTCCTTGTATGTCTTTCTCTTGTCGTATTGCTCTGGCTAGGACTTCCAGTATTATATTGAAAAGCAGTTGTGTATTCTTAAAGAAATTGATATTCTTATTCCTTTCAAATTTGGCCACCTGGATCATACAGCTTCTCAGCATGTTTCTCCAAGGTCATTTATTTCAACTATGGCACCAACTTCTTCTCCAAGCTTGTAAACATTAAGTTCAACGTGAGCTGTCTATCCTCTGCCAGACACTCTTGTTCTATGAACGGACTGCTCATCCTCTCGCTGTCAGCAGCCAATCTGTATGCATTATACTTCTCCAGAATGTTTGCT